ACTCTTAGCAATCTCCGAAATGTCAGGATTAATTAGCTCGAACATATTATACTTAGTTAATGGATAAGTTTCCTTTCTTGAAAAGCAATTCATAATAATAATAATAATAATATAATGTTTATTTTTACAAACTAAAATAGATTTATAAAAGTTATAATTTGTTACTTTGAAAATATTTTCTAAATTTAGTTAATTTAGTGACTATTAATTCTAATTAAGAGTACTCTATTATATCATAAAAATATTACATTTATTTGCTGTAAAAGTTAAATGACATACATTTAAGAAATTAAGTAATATAAATATTTTAAATTATATGTTAAATTATAGAATATAAGCAATAATTTTTTGCATTTCTATCAATTGAAGTAAGTAAATTTCATCTTAGAAATGTTATGTCATACAATATGTTTTTTTAGTTACATTAATAAATATTCTAATTTTTATTTATTTATTTTTTTGTTTGTTTTGAAAATTTCATTTGCGAATTCATCAATTCACTGTAATTAGATCAACTGAAAAGCTAATATTTAATTTCATAATGACATTATGCAAACATAAAAAGCAAACAGTTGTAGTTTACTAACGGAATTTAATATAAATAATAATAATAATAATAATAATTACTACATCAGCGAGCAAAATATAAAAATAATATTTAAATATGATAAGATTTCAAATCACAAAATTAGTGATTAATAATATACAATTTGGTGATAAAGATTAGTTATATAATTAAATAAGCAAGTGAATTTATATTTAAATTTAACAATTTTTATAAGGAAGAAAAAGGTGAGAAGAATTATATACATAAAAAAGAAGTGATATTTCTTAACTGAAGACATAGCAACAAAAACACTTGCCATGTTAAGAAATATCCGATAAAAGAATTGAGGTAGCAGTTGTTGCTGAAGTAGCAATTTTTTTTATTTACATAAGCTGTGTCCGGGTTAGCGAAATAAAAAATTTATTTCTTCAACAAGTCTTCAAACTAAGGAAAAGTTCTGAAACTTGCTTAGCAAATAGATAAGATTTAATTTATATTAAAATAGTAATCATTTGAATCATTGATTACAGTTTCTTCCTAAATAATTCTAATGGCAAAATAAAATGTTTTTATATTTTTATATAAGGAATATTTGTTTTAAAATATAATTTAAACACGATTATTTAAATGTAATTAAAACAAATACGCATTACTTTATGCACTTTATAAGTCCATTATAAAAATATGTAATGTACATATTGGATTTTTTTTTCATTGAAATTTAGGGAAATGCAATATATATTTCAAGTATATTTACTGATAGTTTTTCTATAGTGTTATGTATTCTACATTTCTACTTGTTCTATTCTTATATGGCGCCATCTGTAGGACTGCACAAAACATCCATAATATCTTACTTTTGGATCGATATTGAGAAGAAACACTCAAACGCGAAAGTAAACGTAATTTTGTAACATTTAATTTGATTTTATGAAATTGAACAGGGTTAAATTTTTAACAGATTTCTACGATTCTTAAAGAAAAAAAAAATACTGTAAAAATTCTTCCCTAAAATAAAACATTTCTTCGACGTTATAGAAAGGTTTACAATTAGTAATATAAATTGCATTATCATTTATTTACGTAGAAAATAATTAATAGACGACACAAATTTTTATAAATATTTCGAATTTATTGTTGATAAATCACAATTTTTTAAAATTTAATTATATTTAAGAATGGTTTATGCGTGTTCTAATCGTAAATATGCGAATATTTTATATATTTTGAGTTGTATTTATATCTAATTAAATTCTAAAAGATAGAAAGTTTACATTATCGTCTTCATTATTTAGTTAATCTTCATTAATTTTAAGTTTTTATAATATTAAACCGCTTCTACTCCTAATAGTCTGAAATTTTTTAATATTGCTTATGGTCATTTTTCTTGGAAATGGAGAGGCAATAATTAAACGTTGAGTAAAGTTTTTAAATAAATGTGGTCGATTAGGTATGTAAGCGGGTGACAGGTTGCATATANTTTAAGTTACGCCTTATTTGTATTTAGAAAATTTTCGTGTAATCTATACTAATTGTCCTACAATTAATTTATATAATATATAATTACATTTATTTATTTTTTAAAATTAAATTCAATAATATAAAATTTTATTTTTTCAGTTTATTTTTATTCTTTATTTGTGAAATTTCTTAGAAATTTTTGCAATAGAGCAATTTCATATAATGTAATATATAAACAATTGTGAAATATATTATTTAAACAAACAGACATAAAAATAGAGAAAGGCAAGTTTCTCTTTATTTATTTGCGACTTTATTTACGAAATTTGATTGATTATTTCAACTTAGTAAATTAATTAAACAGTTTTTTTTATTCATTAACTATTCGTATGGTTTTCTCCAGTTATAACAATTGAATTTGATTTTATTAACTTTTTAATTAGTACTGTAATCAAATCAGTACTGTAGTTTCTTGTCCCTGTACTGTACATTATACCTTTCTGCAAGCATTAGAATAGTGCCAGTCATTTATTTAACTCCTATCTGGAGAAAAATATTTGAAATGAAATAACATGATTTCCAGTTTTCATTGCAAGTTTCTATATAGTTAATCAGGGCTTAGAACAAATAGAAGTTCAATACCGGTCTTGACTTTCATGTATCTGACTCTGTTCACGAGATTAAGCAACGACAGGCGGACAGCCAGACAGACAGACAACAGTGGGCATTTATGTCTACAATTCTTTTAAAACTGTATCCCAATTAGAATTGATAGTAATTTATATACGCTTATTACAGTATACAATTTTTCAAATAATTCTGTAATAAAATAATTTAAGTAATAAAAAATTAAAGATAAAGAAGNATAATTTAAACACGATTATTTAAATGTAATTAAAACAAATACGCATTACTTTATGCACTTTATAAGTCCATTATAAAAATATGTAATGTACATATTGGATTTTTTTTTCATTGAAATTTAGGGAAATGCAATATATATTTCAAGTATATTTACTGATAGTTTTTCTATAGTGTTATGTATTCTACATTTCTACTTGTTCTATTCTTATATGGCGCCATCTGTAGGACTGCACAAAACATCCATAATATCTTACTTTTGGATCGATATTGAGAAGAAACACTCAAACGCGAAAGTAAACGTAATTTTGTAACATTTAATTTGATTTTATGAAATTGAACAGGGTTAAATTTTTAACAGATTTCTACGATTCTTAAAGAAAAAAAAAATACTGTAAAAATTCTTCCCTAAAATAAAACATTTCTTCGACGTTATAGAAAGGTTTACAATTAGTAATATAAATTGCATTATCATTTATTTACGTAGAAAATAATTAATAGACGACACAAATTTTTATAAATATTTCGAATTTATTGTTGATAAATCACAATTTTTTAAAATTTAATTATATTTAAGAATGGTTTATGCGTGTTCTAATCGTAAATATGCGAATATTTTATATATTTTGAGTTGTATTTATATCTAATTAAATTCTAAAAGATAGAAAGTTTACATTATCGTCTTCATTATTTAGTTAATCTTCATTAATTTTAAGTTTTTATAATATTAAACCGCTTCTACTCCTAATAGTCTGAAATTTTTTAATATTGCTTATGGTCATTTTTCTTGGAAATGGAGAGGCAATAATTAAACGTTGAGTAAAGTTTTTAAATAAATGTGGTCGATTAGGTATGTAAGCGGGTGACAGGTTGCATATATTTTATTTAAAGCCCCGATAAAAGATAATATAACATATAGCATTTGAGAAAAGGTAATGGAAGGATGATATAATGGTAGACAATAAGTATATTTTGTCACACAAAAATCTCAGCAATATCTCAGATATTCATAATCTGATAAATATAACATTTATTTTATTTTATTCTCATTCAATTATATTTTGTAAATTATATATTATTTCTGTTTAATTAGAATTGATAATTAAATTTTCATTTATGTAATCTATTTTGCAATTGTACATTTATGTTTAATTAAATTATTATTAAATTATAATTATTAATTAAATATATTAAAATATTTATTATTTGATAGTTT